GCCGGCCCAAGGAGCAATCTTTAGGCTAGGATTCACAGACTGATGAGAAGAGTAATCAAAGCCAGGGCTAAGAAACTAGGGAGGAGACTTAACTTTCTATCTTTAACATTTCTATAGGAAAGAAAACAAAAGTCTTTGGGGAGGGGGGGGCACTCTCTTGGCCAGTAACACATCTACTTACCTCCCAGAATTATAATCCTGAAAGTCCCCACTTCCACCCAGCTCATGGGAGTGTGGGGAAGTGTATTATCATTACTTTAAGAAGTAATGAAGGTTGTGAGGACACTTGGGAAGAGAGCAGCACAGGCACAAGTTCCTTGCTTTTGGAAAAGTACACCAAACATGCCAAGGTGATCACACGTGTGCATATGCCAGTTTTTATAAGGGATGTGTCCTCAAAGCGAAACCTGAACTGTTTACAATTCCTAGTGATTCTCCCTGTTAGCTGGTGATGTAGAAATTTTTGTTTCTGTGTAAAGGGAGCTTGTTTAAAGGGAACGCTGGTTAATTTTTTTGTCATTGGAGTGACCACACATCTCAGGATAAGTACAGTTAGAAGTCTCATAAACGTGGGTATGCTAAGGCACAGATAGCTCATTTCAGTCACATCTGAAATGGAGGTGAGGGCAGCTTCTTAGAAGGCAAGGATGAACTTATAACTTAGATGGAGATTAATGAAGATAGGTTATGGGACTCCCGGATCTTCAAGGGAAGACAGGGAGATAGCTTTGGTGGGAAGGGTAGGAGATTCTAGACTTTGGAGAAGGCTTAGAGCCAGTGGAAGAAACTTTCAAACAAATGTTCCTGGGAGGGGTAAGAAGTTTGGTGCCTATACTATACAGTGCACGGCCCCAACGGCCTTAGCCCAGGGCTTCTCACATTTTACCACACGTAGGAATCACTGCGGAGCCTGCTAGAAAGCAGCCGGCTTCAGCATCCATCCACAGAGTCTGCGTTTCTAATAACTCCCAGGAGACGATGACTTCTGGTGCAGACACTACACTTTGAGTAGTGAGATCCTAGAGGTCATGTTTGTCCAACATGAAATTGGGGGGCAAGTGGGGGGCGGGGAGTCCCTAAGAGCACGGAGCAGTCAGGACCATAACCTGATCTTTTGCCTCCTAGACCAGTGGTGGTCTTGGAAGAGTGAAGAGATTCAAAGCCAGCATGAACTTCAATGGCTCTTAGCTTTAGCTGTTAAGATTGAGCTTTAAGGGACAGTAGCCTGCTTTCTGTTCCAACTTAGAACACCATGGACACCAGACTGGTGTGTGGCACTGACGTCCTGTGTAGGCACCAGAGCAGTAAGATGGTGCAGTTAGTAGACATCACAGAAAATGCAGGGGAGGTGTCATAAGTAATTAGGACATTGAAGGAAAAGGGCCCTGGAACCAGCCTGCTGGGGTTCAGATCCAAGCTTCATTACCAGCAGTGTGATCAAGTTTCTTAATTTCTCTGTGCCTTAGTTTCCTCAACTACAAAATGGAGATGATGGTCCTAACTTCAGAAGGCTATTGTGAAGATTAAATGAGCTAGAACAGGAACCAACACTTAGAAAACAGCTATTGTTTTTTGTTTTTGTTTTTAAGATTTTATTGGGGGAAGGGGAACAACCAAGTTGTCCTTCAATCTTAGTTGTGGAGGACGCAGCTAGCTCAGCTCCAAGTCCAGTCGCCATCCCGCCGCCTGTCAGCAGCTCAGGGCAGCTCAGCTCAAGGTGCCGTGTTCAATCTCAGTTGCGGCTGGGCATAGTCCACCATCCCATGCGGAAGTCTAGCTGGCAACCTTGGTAGGAGCACGTGCTCTCTCTGTTGGCAGCTCAGTGGTAGTGCAGCTTGGGCACAGCTCACTGGGAATCGAATTTCCATGTGGGAATCGAATTGGTGACCTTGTTGCTCAGAGCTTGCACTTTTTTTTTTTTTAAAAAGACTTTATTGGTGAATTGGGGGAGGGGAATAGCGCTGGGAAATTGGGGGAAGGGGAACAGAAAAGTTGCTGTCCTTTTGTTCTTCGGTCTAGTTGTGGAGGACGTTGCTTCACTGGCCCATGTTGGTATTATCATTGCGCTCTTCCCGGGTGAGGTAGATCGGTCACCGGCCTCTGGACGGCCACTCACGGCGGCTCTTGGCAGCTCACACTGGCTGCCGGTGGCTCACGCTGGCTGCCGGACACACACAGTAGCTTATGGCAGCCCACTGCAGGAGGGTCTGCAGGCTACGCCGTCGCCGGCGACTCATGGCATCCCAGCTCCAGGTTGAGCTGTTGTTCACCATCTTAGCTGTAGAGGGCAGTGTCACTGGCCCTCATGTGGGACCTGAACCGGGGCCCTGTGTCCCAAGTCAGTTCCTAACCAACACGCCACTCAGCCAGCCCAGAGCTCATGCTTTTAACCAACTGAGCCATTCGGCTGGCCCACAGCTATTGTTATTAGCAGTGGCCACTGAAGCCACCATGTACCTCTCCCACCTCTTCATCCCAGTATATCAGCAGCCCGACCTTGCATCCTCTCCCTCCCTCTGGGCTCACCTCTGAGAGCAAAGACCTCTTATTCCCCTCTAGGCGTCCCCTTCAGCACTTCATGCAGTTCTTCGAAATCACTACTAAATGAATCAAATTTAAAAACTTGTTCTCTGTCAGAAAAAAACTGAGTTCCATCTGCAGAAGCAGCTTCACCCCAAGTCCCCAAACCCAGGCTTTGACTGGTAGGGCAGCACAGCCAGCACTCTGGAAGC